TTGGTTGGAACAATGTTGAGAAAAGCGCGCCTAGACGCACGCCTAGGCGCAAGGCAAAGTGAAGCGCAAGCTGTGTGTCACGACCCAAACCCGCCCCTATGGGTTTAGCACCATAACCGGCCAGTAATCCGTGATTACCGAAGGCCTGGTTAACAGTAATGACAGTAATACAGAGTAAAGGGGCTGGCGGAAGCCAAAACAGTAGATAAAAGATGCCCAATGAGCTGTGACAATCTGGATGCAAAAAGACTTTTTATAAACATGCCACACCTGATAACCAAAACATATGTACATTCAACATATATACAAACATCCATGTCAGGGACCAAATCCCTAACTATAACTGTACAGTCAAGTCTTAAACATTTATTACAAATCAGAACCAAAATGGTGAAACTGAGACACCCCAAAATAGCCTTAGCTTGAACAGACTCAGAACCTCGAGGTGAGGCACGGTGGTTGGCTTGACAAAACGGGAGCTTAACTTGACGCTCCTAGCATCGGTCTGGTGCCTGGACACCTACATATAAATATAAACAGTAAGCTAAAGCCTAGTGAATAATAGTTATGTAAAGAGGTTAAGAATAAATGTCCTTTCAATAATTAAACAGTCATATTAGTCATTTAGAAACCAAAGCAGTCATATGTAGTACATCCAATAGCAAAACAGTACAGCAGGTCTTAATAGACCGAACAGTCAGTTGATGGTCATCATAACGGTAAACAGTAGCAGTTCCAACATGGGAACTGACAGAGATCTTTATAACAATAGCAGTAACAGTAACAGTAGGTTGCTATAGATGCCACGAGTACAGTTTACAAATAGGACAAACATTCATTCATTGAACAATAACATTTCAATAAGCAGTACAATTGATCATTCAGAAAATAATCATAATTGAACATATCTTTACAACATTATTACTCACAGAGCACTGGGCTATAGACAAGCTAACGAGCGTCCTTGGATGCCAACCCTACAGAGTAACAGAACGAACACACACTCGGGATCAATAACTTAGTCCCTAACTATACATGGTGTGATTCTATAACATTATCCTCATTAAGATGTCTTAAACTTGGCCTAGGAATGCCTAGGATGGAATGAGGATGCCAAAATGCACTTTAAAACACTTTTTAAATTTTTGCTGAAACAGGGGTCTCGCTCGAGCGTGGCTTTCTACGCTCGAGCGAGCGTGCCAAAATAGAGGGGTCGCTCGAGCGTGGACTTCCTCGCTCGAGTGGTCTGTAAAAATGCAAAAAGTGCTGGATGTTGAAAATCTTCGCTCGATGCTCGCTCGAGCGTGAGACATAATCCTCGCTCGAGCATAGGTTTCTTCGCTCGAGCATGTGTCTGCGTGCACCAAAAACCTGAGAGCTTGCAATCTACGCTCGAGCCAGCATTCCTTCGCTCTAGCGGAGCTCTGAACAAAATATGGTTGCTCGAGCGTGGAATCCTTCGCTCGAGCGTGGAAGCCAAAATCTAGAATTTCCAGATTTGCCTCCCAAGCTCAAACCAAGCATTCAACACTTCAAAACTCAACCTTTTGGGCCCATTTTCTGGAAAACACTTGAAAACTCATACTACAACATATTTTGTAGATCAATTTTGTAAAATCAAGCCCAAAGGTAAGCCAATTGAACACAATTCAAAGAAACTATCATAAACTAAGCAAGAACATAACATGCATGAGTTGTAATGGACTCCAATGCTTCAAATCATGATCAAATGTAAGATTGAGCTCAAAATCAAGGTGAATTCATGGACTACAACCAAAATATGGACTTGCATGTAAGAATTTCATGAAGAACAACTTCAAAATGTTAGAACATGTACATGCATGCATGAATTAGCTCACAATTCAACTCTTTAAATTAATTCTTGACTTTAAACTCTAAATTTTCCATGAACCATGCAAGAAATAGCTTAAATTCACAATTAAGAAGATGATTTCCTTACCTAGGTCTTGAATTCCAAGTATGGAAGTCTAATTTTGCAATCACTCTTCAAGTCTTCTAATTTTCCAAGCTAATTCTTGTTGAAACCAAACTTCTCCTACTCTCCCTCTCTTGCTCACGGTTTTGGTCTCCAAATGGATGAACATGATGCATCAAAATGATATAAAATCAATCAATGGCCTAAAGTGCCCACTAAATCGCAATTGTGTAAATAAAAGCCAACTAATGTAATACAACTTTTAATTAATCTAGTTTAATCATTCCAAATCGACCTTCAATTAAACCTACCATAAAATCACATAAATTCTAATTAGCATAAAACACTAATCAATTTCTGGTTCGGTCACCGATAAGACCTTCAATTCGCAGTTCAAAGTTAAAACATGAACAGATTTATTTAGAAATCAAACAGATAGAAATGCATTCAAAACAATACACTCATACAATCAGTTCAGAATTTCGTTCTTATCAGTTACTTATCATGCTTAATCATAGATTAGCACTAATCAGAGGTGAGGGTTGTCACAGTCTCCCCTCCTTAAAAAGAGTTTGGTCCTCCAAACTCGGATTACCTTCACATTGGAGGAACATTGGATTCAAGGGGAACAATTCAGGATACCGTTTCATCATATCGTCTTCCCTTTCCCAAGTGGCATAAATGCCACCATGGTTTTGCCAGTCCACTTTCACTAACGGAATTTCTTTATTCCTCAATTTCTTGATTCATCGATTCACAATCTGAATAGGCCGTTCTTCATAAGTGTAGTCATCACTTAGCATTACACGGGTAGGCTCAATAACATGGAAAGGATCCCGAAGACGGGTGTTCAAATGGCTCTAACCACAGGGGATTACAACTCATATACAATATGACCCAGATACGACTCAAATGAATCCCTAATCTATGCCGTCTCTTCCTCTCTCGCCTTAGACTTTGACTTCGACTAGGCTGCTAGACTTCGACTTCAACTTCGACATTTCAGGTGTACTTCAACTTCTTCTTCTTTTCTTCTAGTTCGCTGTGCGAATTTTTTTTTTTTTCTCTTTTGGTTCAACTTCTTCAGCTCTGTCTTTTTTTGCTTTTTTTTTTTTTTTTTTTTTTTTTGGTCTTCTTCAACTTTGACTCTCTCTCTCTCTCATTCTTCTTCTTTTTTTGGGCTGCTTGTTTGTCTTTGTCGACTGCTCTATTTTTTTTTTCTCTTCTTCGCTGCTTCGGTGGTCTTTCTTTTTTTTGGGCTTCTTCAACTTCGACTCTCTCTCTCTCTCTCTCTCTCTCTCTCTCTCTCTCTCCTTCTCCTTCTTCTTTTGGGCTGCTTGTTTGTCTCTGTCGACTGCTCTGTTTTTTTTTTTTCTTCGTTGCTTTGGTGGTCTTTCAATTATGCCTTTGAGTCTCTGTTAAAAACCAAAAAAAAAAAAATACCAATACAAAATAAGACTTATATTACTGATTCAGATTGATTAACTAAAAAAATACACTTAAAAAAAATTACAAATAATTAATTAATACATTGTGTTGTTGGTGTTTTTTTTTTTCCTTTCCCTGTTAAGAAAAAAATTACAAATAATTAATTCGTCACACATTACATTACATTGAAATTATTTTTCATTTATTAAATTTGTTGTGTAGAAAATGACATCAGAAAGTAATAGAAAAGATCCGGCATAGTAACATGCCCGTTTGGTAGAGGAGAATAATTTAAACAAGTTTAAGTATAACTTTTGTGGTAAAGTATCAAATGGAGGTGTTTATCAGGTGAAACAACACCTCACGAGAGGTTATAGGAATGTCACTGCTTGCCCGAAGTGTCCACCTGATGTAAGAGAAGAGATTAGAGAGTTCATGTCAAAAAAAAAAAGACACAAAAAGAAGAAATGAACATGTTGTCTGATTTCGATGACATGGACATGGAAGATGAAGATGAAGATGATGATGTTGTTGAGATCAATGTCAATCAACGCCGTAAGTTCACAAGTAGCAACCAAGGTTCATCCAAATCCAAATCAAAAATGCCAAAGAGAAAAGGGCCTATGAATGTTTACTTCACACCAAATCCTAAATCAATGGTGAAAAATCGAAGAGATCAAGTAAAAGGGAAGCAAACCAAAATTGATGCGAATAACCCTTACAAAAAGGAAATGAGAGCTCGGGCAGTGCAAAGATTTGCAAGGTGGATGTATGATGCTGGTATCCCTTTTAATGCAGTAAATTATGAGAGTTTTAGACCAATGATTGAAACCATTGGGCAATATGGTCCCAGTATGAAGCCACCAACTTACATGAAGTGCAGGTTACTCAACTCAAAAAAGAGGTGAAACATACTGAAGATTTGATGAAGAATCATAAAAAAGATTGTGCAAAATACGAGTATTCCATAATGGCTGATGGCTGGACTGATAAGAGAGGAAGGACATTGATTAACTTTTTAGTTAATTTTCCAAGAGGAATCATGTTTGTTGAGTCGGTTGATGCTTATAGCTATTCAAAGGATGGGCAGAAACTATTTGAATTACTAGACAATTTTATGGAGAAAGTTGGAAAAGAGAATGTGGTGCAAGTTATCACCGATAGTGCTACAGCTAATGTGTTGGCAGGTAAGAATATTTCCCCCTTCCTTACGTCAAAATTATTTACTCATAGTTTGTTTTGTATTTAAAATTTAAAACCTTGAAAATAATAGTTCTTCGTAATTGTTACATTATAGGGAGGTTTTTGGAAGCCAAGTATGAACACTTGTATTGGACACCATGTGCTGCTCATTGCTTGGACTTGATGTTAGAAGACATTTTCAAGATACCTCGACTGAAAAAGACATTTGAAAGGGGTATTGCAATACATGGCTACATTTACAACCGGCTTACGTTGCTAAACATGATGAGGCGCTATACAAATCTGAAGAATTTGATCAAGTCTGCAAAAACTAGATTTGCAACTGCCTTTCTGACTTTGTCTGGGATGCATCAACAAAAAAACATTTGAAAAAGATAGTCACTTCTGAAGACTGAACCTCAAGCAAATGGCAACGGAGCCACAAGGTTAAACAATGACACAAACATTGTTGATGCCTTCATTTTTGAATACTGTTGTGTTTGCCCTTAAGGTCTCGGGTCCTCTCGTCAAAATGCTTAGATTGGTTGATACCGAGAAGAAACCTCCCATGGGATACATTTATGAGGCAATGGATAGGGTAAAAGAATGCATTGCAAGTTCATTTGATCATAAAGAAGAGAAGTATAATGAAATCTTCGAAATCATCAATAAAAGATGGGATGTCCAATTGCATCAGCCTTTACATACAACTACGCACTTTCTTAACCCAAAATCCTTTCACCCAAAAGCTTTAGAGGTGCAAAAGGATCATGAAGTGATGAATGGATTTTATGAATGCATGCAAGGGTTGGTCCCGGATGTCACTGTTCAAGATTTGATCACTAATGAGATGAATATTTATACGAAGGCTGAGAGTCTTTTTGGCAAGCCTATTGTGATTAGGCAAAGAAATACAAGGGCACCAGGTAATATATTATAGACTCATAGAGTTTATTTTTAGTAATACTTTTAGTAAAACTCAATACTTGGTAACAATTATTTCTAACTAGTGATTATTGCAACTGATTGGTGGGCATCATATAATTCTAAAACCCCAAACTTGCAAACTTTTGCCATAAAAGTCCTTAGTCTAACATGTAGTTTATCGGGTTGTGAACGAAATTGGAGTGTATTTGAACATGCGAGTATTTAACATTCTAACTAATTTTTTGTTGAATTCAAATATTTTTTATTCTCATTATATATAATTTAATATCTTTTTAATACTTGCAGCTTCATAGCAAGAAAAGAAATAGATTGGAACAACAACTTCTCAATGATTTAGTGTTTGTCAAATATAATAGAACATTGAGATTTAGGTATGACATGCGCAACACTCTTGATACCATATCTTTACAAAATATTGATGCAAGCAATGAGTGGTTGCTTGGGAGGATGGATGGAAAATCAGATGAAGATAATGAGCCAGTGTTTCATGATGATAATGGCTTGACGTGGGCCACTGTTGCTAGAGCTTCTGGGGTAGAAGAAAGTAGCCATGCAAGTAGAGCAACAAGTTCACGCTCAAAGGCACAACCGATGATATCTAAATCATCAAGATTAACTCTACTTCAATTAATAGATGAAGAGGAAGCGGGCTCAGATGACACAAAGGAGGAAGACGTTGACGGATATAAATCAACTAATGGAGAAGAAGATGATACTATGCTTGCCATTGATGTTGAGAATGATGATTGACTAACCGGCCTAACCTATCCTTTCTTATGATATTGATGTTTTTAAGTGTTAAGACATATATTAGTATTTGTTGGATATTTATGTCTTGAATGTTTAGTATTTATGTTTTTTTTATTTTATTTTATTGAATGTGGATTATTTTATCTTTGAAAATTAGAATGCTATGTAATATGCACTTTCATGACTTTGAGAATTATTCTATAATTTGTCTTGAATCTTGATTACTTTTTATTTTAAAATTTTTTTGTCTTAGTACTATGAATGATTAGTCTATGTTATTTTCTATTTTTTACTAAGATGCAGCCTTACTTCAATAAAGCCAGCACCTCGCCTTGCGCCTAGGCCCCTAGAGACCTTCAGCGTCTTAGTGCGCCTTGAGCTTTTAAAAACACTAGGTTGGAATTGAATTGGATATTTTGGATTTAATTGGAACTTAATGGAATAGTAAATTATTAGAGGTTTTAATTATGCAATTAGTCATGATTTAGCTAGGCCTTGGTTATGATTGAACTTAAGGTGAAAACATGATTCCATGTTATGAGGTGTACCAGAACACTTTTCTATGATTTCATCAATTATGTTTGAAAAAGATGTATCAATTTCTCTTTCCAATGGTGGCTGGCCATGTGCAAATAATTTTAAGAGATTTTTGTTGATTTTCTTGTGTGCAATTATATATATAAAGATATTTTGTGTACAAAATTATTTATTTAAGAAAGGTGCACGTATATATATATATATATATGTAAAATGTCAAAATGTGGTTCAAGAAAAACATAAGGGCTAAAATCTTAAATTATAAATTTGAACATTTAACAAAGTGTAGTATATAATTTATTTAGAAGTTGAAAATTTAATTCCATTAAAATTTCTTTATTTTGATTTAAACGGCGCAATTGTAATAAAAACCGAAAACCTAGGGTTTCTGTGTGAAAAATACATTTAGAAAATTAATTTAATTATTATTAAGATTTTAGAAATGGTTCTTGAGTTCTTAAGTTCAATCAAGATTTGCAAGTTTTCAATTGGTGCAACTCTTTAGCTAAAATTGAAAACAAATAAGGAATCAAGAGTATCTATTGAAATAGTTCAAAAGTAAAGCTCAAAATAAAATTACAAAGGTCAAAAGCCTCATAGTTAAATAATTAATATTAACATGTAGAAATGATTACTATGCTATTGGGGCCGATTAGGGTTTTTATGGGCTTCAATTCACAAAGAAGAATCCATTTGTTACCTCTCAACCCTCACCACCACCAAACACAACCCCCATCATTTATATAACAAAAAAAAAAAAAAAACTTCCGTTCTACTTCAAATCAAAGCATAAAAGAAAACAAAAACAACCATGCCATTCAGATGTTCTATTCTCTGCTCTCTTTCCTCAGTACCTGTAGTGAGCAGGCTTGTAAGGACCCTCAACCGGAATGCTAATGTAATCAGCCTGGTCCTTGGTGAGAATGGTGAGCTTAGCTCCGAGCTTACCAAGGTGAAGTGCTGCGACCTTCTCATCAAGGTGCTTGGGCAAAACATACACCTTCTTCTCATACTTGCCACTACTCTTCTCCTTCCACAGCTCAAGCTGGGCAATCACTTGGTTAGTGAAAGAGCAAGACATCACAAAGCTGGGATGCCCTGTGGCACAACCCAAGTTCATAAGCCGCCCCTCAGCCAAGACAATGATGCCTGACTTGGTGTCGGGGAAAACCCACCTGTCTGTTTGGGGCTTAATCGTGATCCTCTTCACACCCGGGTATGTCTCAAGCCCATGCATGTCAATTTCATTATCAAAATGGCCAATATTGCAGACAATGGCGTTGTTCTTCATCTTTCTCATGTGGTCAACCATGATGATGTCCTTGTCGCCAGTGGCGGTGACAAAGATATCAGCTTCTGAGACCACATCTTCGAGGGTTAGAACTTGGAGGCCCTCCATAAGAGCCTGAAGGGCACAAATTGGATCGATCTCAGTAACGATCACACGTGCTCCAGCTTTCTTCATTGCAGCGGCGCAGCCCTTGCCAACGTCACCATAACCACAGACAACAGCGACCTTTCCACCAATCATACCATCAGTGGCTCTCTTCAAACCGTCAGGGAGTGAGTGGCGACAGCCATACAAGTTATAAAACTGTTCACATAAAGAACAAAAAGATCATTGGAGTGAAATCAAGAGTTCAAAATCAGTGATTTTTAAGATAAGAAACTACATGTTACTTGAAAATACAAGATCAGCTACTCAAAATTGTAGTCAACAAGCAGTAGAAGAAAAGGGTTTCCAAAATCTCAATTTCAAATCCAAGAGTAGTCAAAGATTACAAATTTATTAAACATAATCAGTTAGATCAGTAAGTGAGTAATAGTTGGGGCAATTCTCAGAAAATGAAACTCAATTCTGTTAGATAATTGAGATAGAGTGAACTGAATCAACAGTTTGTAGAAATACAAGTATAATTCACAGAAGATAATAGAACAAACTGAAAGAATCAATAAAGAGACAAAATCACTAGCAGTATATTCTTTATTTGTGAATATGTGAAGCTTAGGATCTGAAGCAAAAATGTCAACAACAAAAAAAAGCATAGATTAGATAGATCTAGATTTTAACAAACCAAGTACGATATACAGATCACAGAGCGAATCTATCATTTTCATTTCAATAAAAACTGAGAACAAATCTAGTAAAATCAACCCAACAAATCCAAAATCAGATCAATCTACAAAACCGAGACTGTAAATCTCAGATCTACACTTGTAAATTGAGATATAATTTGTTAAAATAAAGAGATTGAAAAACCAGATCAAAGAAGTACATGAACACACACACTGCTGTCACTTTCAGATCTAACAACTATAAATCTCAAATCTGAAACAGACCCAACTATAAATGAACAAATATAGATCGATACCTTGCTCTTGGTGACGGAGTCATTGACATTGATAGCAGGGAATAACAAAGTTCCATCAGCCTGCATCTGATAAAGCCTCTTGACACCAGTAGTCGTCTCCTCCGAAACTCCAACCAATCTCTGCTTCATCTTGTGATACCTCTTGGGATCAGTCTTCAGTCCATCCCTAATAATACTCAACACGATCTGAAACTCCGCGTTGTCAGTAGAGCTCGGATCTGGAACCTTCCCACTCTTCTCAAAATCCTCCTCCGCCTTCACCCCCCCATGGATCAGCAGAGTGGCGTCACCGCCGTCATCGACAATCAGATCGGGTCCGCCGCCGGGGCCCCAGTCGAGGGCCCGCTCCATGCACCACCAGTACTCCTCGAGGGTTTCTCCCTTCCAGGCGAACACGGCGGCGGAGTCGCGGGCTATAGCGGCGGCGGCGTGGTCCTGGGTGGAGAAGATGTTGCAGGAGCACCACCGGACTTCGGCTCCCAAGGCGGTTAGGGTTTCGATGAGGACGGCGGTCTGGATCGTCATGTGGAGCGAACCGGTGATGCGGGCGCCCTTGAAGGGTTGTGATGGGCCGAACTCGACCCGGCAGGACATGAGACCCGGCATTTCGACTTCGGCGAGCTCGATCTCGAGGCGGCCGAAGTCGGCCTGGGACATGTCCTTGACCTTGTATTCACGGCCTGTGGTGGTCTTCTCTGCTATGAGAGCCATGTTTGTTTAAAAGCAAAAACACACACAAAAACAAGTGTGAGTGGATAATATTCTCATGTTCCCTCAACTAAATAATCTCAAACTCAGGGATGTGCCAAACCTTTGGAGTTTTGCCTCCAAGCTTACACGTTTGAAGGGTCATTGTTGAAGACCGTGGAAGTAATCGATTGTCCAACATGAAGGCCCTCCCTTCAGCGAGTCCGGACCGTCGCCAGCCAAATTCTCTGGTCAAGGTTAGGATTTGACTACGTCACTTAAGCCAAGATCTACGACTTAGATGCTAATAAATGAAAAAAATTGAATTTATTTCATTCAACACAGCAACAACTTCTCTCCCATTGGCCTCACTTTTTCCCTTCCTCTTTGAAGCTTGGGTGAACGACGATCGGCGAAGTCAGCGGCGAACATCAATAACGATCGACGGTAAATTGAAGCCGGCAGCGAACATCAATGGTCTCTCCCTCTCTCCTGTTGTCTTACTCCGAAGATTTCAACTGTTATTTCAGCCGCCGATTTCGCCCTCTCTCTCTCTCTTTCTTACTTCGAACATTTAAGCCGCGATTTCAGTCGTGAACAAAGCTCCGGCGATCCTGCAAACCAGAGCTGCACTTCATCAAACTGAAGGTAATATTTTTTTTCATTAATTTTTCCCCAAATAATCTGTCATGTTCAAAGTTGGCATTTTTAAAACTTATAGTTGATGTGTGTTTCCTATTCAAAGCAATTATGATTGATAAAATGCCATTTTCATTGTTTAATAGGCCCAAAAAAAATAAAAAAATAAAAAATAAACGTAGAAGCAGAATGAAAATGGCAGAGAAGAGACTGAAAACATTGGACTTGATTTTTTCAATTTTTATGCCTACATTTGATGGTTTGGCGTAGGATTTCTGAATATACATATATATATATATATATAGTGTAATCTATAATGTGGTTCTACAAGATCATTTTTTGAAACTAGCATAGTTATTATTTCTTGGTTCTTATTAATTGGTTCCAAAAAAATAAATTAAACACTTCAAAGCAGACCTTCAAAGCAATTATGATTGTTCTTAGAATATAGTGATTGAGCTGATATTTTGCTGCTGAAATGCTGTTTTGGTGCTGAATTTGTGTTGCTAAAACACTGTTTTGGTGCTAAATTTTTCCTGTTTTTCAAAAAAAAAATTCAAGGTTTGGATGGCTACGAAGAGGTGGAAGGCACTTCAAATTTCAAGCATAGGAGATGCCTCTGATGTGTAGCAGCAACACACCATCTATTATGCATTTATTATGTTTTTGTAGTGAAGCTTCACAGTCGCAACACAGCATCTATTATGCCTCTAATGTACAGCAGCAACATAGAATTGTCCCACTGGCTCACAATGCATCTATTATGTTTTTGTAGTGAAGCTTCACAACAATAGTAAAGTTTATTGTTTGCTATAGTTAGAATTAATTGAGATGAGATTTGAAGAATGGCGAAACTAATCTCTTTTTTTTTCTTTTTTTTTTTTTGCCTATGAGTATTATGAATGAATTTTAACTAGCAGAATGTGGAGTTAATTGGGTTGAAGCCTGGTTCTTTGAAATTCAATTTAGTTGTTGTTCATGGTATTTAACATTGTTGTTGCATCACACTTTTTGAAGTATTAACATGGCAGCATCACACTTTTTGTAGTATTTAACATTGATGTTGCATGGTTTTGAAAAATACTCAAAAAGCAATAAAGTTTTTACATATCTACACTATATGTGCAAATATCTATATGAGTGGAATTGAGAAAAATAAATGGATTGAATCACTTGATATGTACACACTTCTCTAAAATTTGTTTTTTACTGTCATCTCATTGGAATTACAAGGGTTTGTTTTTGTTTTGTTTGGAATTACAAGGTCACAAGCAGGTCACTTTGCACAACCCTTAAACAAATAAATCATTCAGTGTGCAGTGCAATTCTTCTTATTTGAGGCAATGTCACAAGCCATTACATTCAACTCTTAAACAAATAAATCATTACCACTTCATCAAACAAAAAAAGCCATTGCATTCATTACCACTTCAACAAAATGGTAGTGGTCCACCCATACATTACTTATACATTCAACCTACAATACAAGTCATACTCATTCTACCCTACATTACATACACTATTTCGGTTGACTGAGAAATCTTAACCATAGCTTTGTTGCTACATCGACAATTGCGGTTGTCAAATCTAACTTCATGAATGCTGCCCATACTTGCACTTGTGCTTGACATTGACATTGACATTGACCTATAAAAAAATATCAAATAGTAAAGCACATCAAGACAGCTCTCAGGAAAATTTGTTTACAATTTGACTCATCTTTAGTTTAGACACCAATCAAAAGGAGTAATATTTGCCTCATGAAATAATATGTTAAAACAAAGGCACAAGTAAAATAGGATACAAGGCAAACAAGGCAATACACTCAAAATATGCATATTTAAACAACCATTTTAATCCCAGCAATTGAGGAATACACCTTCAAACAAAATCAACTAGCCAGCAAACACACTCAAGCATCTAATGAATTAATTTCACTTTCACTACTACAAACCATTTACCTTTCAGAAAACTTGTTTAGAGAAGCAATGTGATCAATTAATTTTGTAACAAACCATGAGAAAGTTGTCAATGCAATGCAAAAAAGCTCAGCAAAACTATACAACTCACAAGTCAACTACTATTGTACATAGAAATCATGATAGAATCCAAAATTGATTATGTAATATGAATGCATGATAGAATCCAAAATTCAAGACTAACTTGACAGGTAGAATAGTTTGACATAGAAATCTTGGTATGCCAGAAAACTACGACTATTTTCTGAACAACAATGCTAAAAAAAAATTCAAAAATAATTTTGTCATAAATGCCATGCGAAACATAGAATGTTCCATACAGATTATCTCACATTTTTTTTTGTAACCCCCAAAGAACATCAAAAAGATTTTTTTTGGCATTCATAGTCTGCAAAACAGCAAAATGAACATGTATAGCCTATTTCATGAGTAATATAAACATGTATAGATTTTTTTGTCATTTATAGACTCGATAAGTGCAAAACACCAAAAGATTTTCCTTCATTTTCCATTTCACTAAACATTTCAACCTAAAATGATGGAGTCGACCAATAGAACAAAGAACAAAGAGAACAAGTTGGTCAGCTCTGGTGAACGACAAGAAAGGGACAAGATGTAGTCGACCAACAGATTATTTGGGGGAAACAACAGGAAAAAACATATTACCTTTAATTATGGTTCGTGGCTCAAATCGCGACTCAAATCTTCGGAGTAAGATAGAGAGAGAGAGAGAAAGAGACCACCGATGTTCGTTGCCAATTTGGCTTCACCGCCGTCGATGTCACGAGATGGCGTCGTCGTTCATCAGAGTTGAAGAGGGAGGGAAAAAGTGAATGGGAATGAAACTCTGTTGCTGTGTTGAATGAAAAGAAATTCAAAACTTTTTTTAATCAAACTTGATCTGAGCCGTAGCTTTTAGCCCTGGTGACGTGGCCAAATCCTAGCCTTGACAGGAGGACTGGCTGGAGGCTTTGGCTAGAGAGGATCCGGACTCCCCTTCAGCATCACATGCAAGAGCCGCAGAGGAACAATGTTCGAAAGGCAAACTTTTTTTACCTTAACTCAACACCATCTTTTGGATGTAAAAGTAAATTTGTTATCTTACAATTATAGTATTCACCATTAACATTCCATTCTTTCAAAGAGAATGTTTCCAATATTCATTAAACTAAGGCTAAACCTCTATACATTTGAAGTTGAAAGAATTGTTGGGTAAACAAAATCGTAGAACTTTGGCAAAAAAAAATATAAAATAAAAAACAAAACAAAATAAAATAAAATAAAACAAAACAAAGCAAAACAAAGTAAAATCATAGAATGTAAACTCTTTATCATGGATGTGGTCAAAGATCTTGTCAAGGAATAGAATCCGGTGGCATTTCTGCTCATGAGCAAAGCTAGGATTATAACATTGGGGGTTCACAAGTCAAGTATTAAGTCTAAGCAATCAGATCAAATCCAATTTTGACGACTAAAATCAACAAATCACTATTAAAACGAAGCTAAAAAATTATTAAAAGGTCCAGTATTAAGTAAGTCTAAGCGGTCAGATCAAGTCCAATTTTGACTACTAAAATCAACAAATCACTATTAAACCTAAACTAAAAAATTATTAAAAAAATATAATCCATGAACTTAAATTTCAGTGATATAACACTAGAAAAATGCAAATAAGAAGTAATATCATATAGTTTATCCAGTACATGAATTGTAATATTTTATAGATCGCTATACAAAATTTTTGAAATTGTCACGTACTAATGAATGAAAGATGAAAATATTTTTAGTTTTCCTTTTTTTAAAAAAAATAAAAAAAATAAAATAAAATGACCAAAACTATGGTACACACTCTTAAAAATGCATACCGTATGCCCTTTTAAAATTATTCTACAATAATTAGTTATAAAATCACAATAATTAATAACTTCTTTCAGCACAATAGTACGTAATATTTAATATTCATAACATAATTATAATAGTTCGTTATATAATCATAATAATTTATAACAAATTTTTTTTTTTTTTTGGGTGCATCAATTCGTAACATAATTATAATGATTTGTATTAACACTACAAAAGCTCGTAACTATTCTACAAAATATAGTATATAAGTTAAATAAATAAATAAAAATAAGAAGTTTGGAAGGGCAAGAGCAATTAACACATAAATCATGTAAATCATATACAAATTCTGCTATTAAATGTCTTTTAATGGACATGTTGTTTTAAAACAATAAGTTTCAATGTAAGTTATAACTATATCATTCTGTATTTAATGTTATATAACATTGCTTAATGTTATAGAGAAGCTCTAAATGCACCTAAGAATTAGGTTAAACACCCCATTATTTTAAGCATCCGAATAATAAAATTGAAGTTTTATTTATTTGTTTGGACACCCTAAATAATAACTATCCTAACCATAAAACCCCTAAAACCCCTAAAACCATATACAAATCAATTTTGTACACCCCATTACCCATAAATAGAGAAACAAAATCAGAAGAGAATTTCAAGCAATGAAGAGGGTTCATCTGAGAAGAAGAGGGATTCCAAGCAATGAAGGTCTCCTCCCACTCTACATCCACCGACGGTCTCCTCCTACTCTACATCAGACAAAGATCTCCTCCCACTCTACATCCAGCAGCGGCTATCGATTTCCAGATACTCAGTGTTGAACATAAGAAAATCGATTTTGATTGTTTCGTATGGATACTTAGTGCCAAAAAAAATATATTTGTCCAGATACTTAATTCCAAACATATGAAGTTTGTTCGGATACTCAGTGTCGAACACAAAAAAATCGGTTCCAATTGTTTCAAATGGATACTCAGTGCCGAACAAAATATATATGTCCAGATACTTAATTCCAAACATATGGAATTTGTTCGGAAACTCAGTTCTAAATGAATTTAGAAAATCAAATTACGAAAAATGATGAACAACAATTAAAAACTACTTTCTCTATAGAAAATTGTTTGAAAATATCTTCTTTATTATCCATTGTTTATTTCAATATGAAATAGAATGAAAGAATGATAAATTAAAGTAAATAGGGTTGGATTAGGGTTGGGTATGAAGATGTAAAGTGATAAAAGTATGAAGAGAAGAGAGAAAAGAAATATTGAGGTTGATGATTAATGAAGTTTCAAAACACTTTTATTTATACTTTTCCAATAACAATTCTTTTTTAGTCATTTTAAATAGGGACTTAATAGTAATAAAAATAAATAATTAAATTGGGATGTCTAACTTAATTTTTTGGGTGCAAATAGAACCCCCATGTTATTTTTGTATCAGTTCCACTACGTAGCTCGAAATTGGCCCGAATTCAAAACGACGTCGTTTTAAATTATTATTATTATTATTATTATTATTATAACTGGCAGAACAAGAACAAAGAAGAAGAATAAGAAGAAAGAAAAGAAGAGAAGAGAGAGAGAGAGAATCATCATCATCAACCAAAAATCAAATCCACCCAACACATTATCATTAACACAACAGAGAGAGGGAGAGAGAATCATCATCATCAACCAAACACATCATCATCATCATCATCACACATAGAGATCAACCAAAAAGCAAACTCACCATAGAGATCAACCCAAAAAAAATGTAAAAATCTGAAAAAAAATTTCAACACATCATCATCATACATAGATCGGAGGCGGAGATCAGAGATCGGAGGTCGAGCGGTGGAGATCGGAGACGGCAATTGACGAGCGATTGAGAAGAATAGGAGATCAGAGGCGACGATTGACCCTCTCTCTCTCTCTCTATTCCCTCTTCCCCTCTCTTCTCTCTCTCTTTCTCTTTTTCTTCCTCTTCTTCTCTATTCTCTCTCTGCTCTCTGTTTCAGACATACAA